CACCCCTTGTTCTTGTAACTCTTTTATCACTGGGGTGATAACCTCCTTTGCTCCCAGGGGTAGAGGATGTTTCACGTTTACAATTTTAGAGGGGGGGAAGCTGCGGCACAGTTCGCAGAAGCCTAATCGGAACAACCGGGGAGCCAAATTTCCACTCTCTCCCTTTAGAATCTATCCAGGCTTTCCCCTTTAATAGCTCTAATCCCAGGATATTGGTGGGAAGGACGCCTATTATCATTGTGGTTACAGTGGGAGTGGTGTCCCCGGGCAACCAGCTTTGCACTCGGGCCGTAGGTTGAGGTCTGGAATTTCCGAAAACATCAGTAACTCAAATACGCTTTTTGTCGGGTGCTCTTCCGCTTCGGTTTGCCGTTTCACTGTTTAATGCTGACATCTGAGCCCCTGTGCCTACGAGAAAGGTAACCGGCGTTTTAAAGGGACCCAGGGCAAAAGTTACTAAGAGTTCCCCTGGTGGTTTTCTGTGAGCCTTCTAATGCAAACCCACCGGCCGTCCCCCGGCTCACTTAGTGGACCGCGGAAGGGGTTTCCCGATTCCGGAGAATTACGGCCTTCCTCCAGCGGTGCTGTAGGGGCGGCGACTTTTTGAGGCATCGGAATTGAGGGACCGCCTCCTTTTTTCAGGAGATTTTTGCGTGTGGGTTTCCACATTTTAGTAACAATTGTAAATTCGGAAGGGGTAAGCCGTCCCTTAGTTCTCGAGGGAGTCCTTTACTTAACCCCTTACTTCCGTAGCTGATTTCTCGATCCCCCACCCACCTCACTTTTACTGGGTAGATAGGACATCCTACCCTCTACTTCAGGTCCACGGACCCCCGCAGAGGCTTTCATGTCCTTACCAATTAAGCCCACCCAGCGGCCATAATTTATTAGCTCCTGAGCAATTTGTCCCCATGTAAGAGTGGCCCCTCTGCCGGGTCTGGCCACCAAAATTGCTCTTAGTCCTGAATTTGTACCGCATACACCTTTAGGGAGTCGGGAAGCCCTTTAATCAGGGGAGTCATTCTATCAGGGTTAGCAATTAATAACATGGGAGAGGGTTGACACACAACAAGATGTGTATCATGTGTAAGTTGGAGACAAGCTGCCTTTTTTATGCTCTCCATAAGCCAACTCAGCCTGGAGGTAGGAATAGCAACCAGGTCTCCTCTTTTGATGGGGTCCAATCCCCCATAATATGCTGCCCACTGAGTCAAGGACCAGGGCTCCCGTGGGTCATCCACAGTCAGGAATACCCCTGGACCCCAATATCCCTGAGCTTCTTCCTCCAATAATTTTATTCTGTCTCTCTCAGTCAAAGAAACTCCAAACATACTCAGTTTTGGTTTCTCTAGCTTGCCTGCTGTATTTTTCTTGCAATTTTGCTAACTTGGTCGCATTGTAGGGTATCTGTTTGACAATAATGTTTGGCTGATCATTTTCCCCATCTCCCCCCCTACTCAACCTCCATTTTAATGAGAGGTCGCATCTTTGGATTAGACATGGATTTAGCCTTAGCCTCTTCCATTTCTTTCCAGGGGTAATTGGGATCACTTTCTTGGCTGACAATATCAGCTTCTTTTGCAAAGCTAGAGAAACTGGATTTGCCATTTAAATCGTTTTCATACTCTGCTAGTTGCACCTTTAAGTCTCTTTCCCTAATACAAGCTTCCTGCAGGCTGTCTTGAAGGTTTTCCACAACCCTCTTTCCTTCTTTTACTATTTCCTCAGCCTGTTGCCGTTTAGCTCATTCTACCTCTAATTCTACCTGCACTTTAACTAATTCTTGTGATACCGGAAAGCCAGTTGAAGAAACTCTCTAAGACTTGTTTTGGAGTTTTAGAAAGCAGGCATTCTTTATTGCAGTGCTGGATGCACGGGGGATAATTCCACCTAGCGTGCATGCCACAGCTTCAGCACAAACAGGTTATATGGAGTAACAATTACATATTAATCGCATGAGTATACATACAAATTATAGTAACTGATTATCATAGTACTGCCTACATCCGATCATGTGCAATGTAGCATTCATTTGAGTTGAAGGGCAGCTTTTACGACCACCAATCCATTTGAGATTGTTGGCTGTCCTTGAAGTCTTTGTTCTTGTCCTTGTTCTTTGACCTTGAAGCTTAACGCAGTTTCAGTCACGTGGTCAGTTTCAACATTGTTCTTATCTAGTGTACAGGAACATCTAGTCATAAGAGCAAAGAACTGCAAAACTTATGAGTAACTACCTCTACTAGTTAATTGCTTGACTATACTTTTGTCTACTGTTTCAATCACAGTGTTAGTATAAGATTTCTAATAATTATTTACCAAATCTTACTTTTACAGTCACCTAGTAGCAAACCAGTTTCCACGGCTGGTACAAAATAAGACCATCAAAATATTTAGACATACCATACAGAATGTATGGAAATACTCTATCGCTTGCAGGGATTGATTCACCTCATGTTCCGTTTGCTTAATGGTATGTTTGTCCCTCTGGGTGGCTATTAGTGCCACCCCCAGAACACCACAGACAATTAATTGCCTTGCCTTTACCAGCCTTAAGATGTTTTTCTTTTGCCAAACTTCTTCTTCAGAGATTGCCAATTTTTCTCCGCCCAGCCGTTAACCTGGCGGAGTGGGACATGCTTTATATCCTTTTAACAAATCCAACAGCAGGGAGCAGTCAAGATCGGGTTTATCTCGGGCTGCCATGATCTTCTATTGGAGAATTCGGCTTCAGCTGAATGTCAGTTCTCCTTTCCTCAGCACTCCAACTGATATTCCCCCCCCCCTTTTTTTTTCTTATTACAAACCCTCCTTGCTGTTTCAGACTATCCTGTCCGTGACACCAATTTAGATGTCCCATCCCACTCGGCAGGCTCGGGGGAGGTGATCTTTTAGTAGTCTGTTGCAGCACACAAGCGTCACAACAATGACTCAGGAGGGACAGGGAAAATTTCAACACCCCGTTTCGCTCAGCAAATCCCAGCGCAGGAGTCATGACAATGGCTCCTAAATGCCAAAATGTGTTTTATTTAACAATGACTTATACACAAGTGTGGCTAAATTTGGCGTAGCAGATATTTTGAATAAAAAACTTGACACCTAACAGCTGTAGCCAAGTATTCCTAACAACAAAGTAGGAGGGAGGGGAGAGATAAGAGAAAAAAGGAGAGGTAAGTATCACCACCCTTGGATCCAGTGAGGAAGGAGTCTCAGTAGAAACTGGATTTCTCAGGCAGCAGGCGCATGCCTGGGGGCTTGGTGTGTGTCCCCGTCCCCGCTCTCCCCCCACCTGCTTCATACCCTCGTTGGAGAGCCCTTCGTGCAAGTCCTTCACGCAAGCCTTGTGGGGTTTTCTTGAAAGTTCTTGAGGGAGTTAGGGGGGTGTGGGGGGTGTTGCTGATGTGCCCTTATCCCATTTAACTTGTTTACCCAACTGCTGTGTTAAGGGCCTGTGGCAAAACTCCGACTCTGAACCTGTGACAAAATGTCCAAAACAGCTGCTAGAAAACTTCCCAGGAAGACCCTTGTCAGAAAGCTTCTTCGAGGCACAACCACTAGAAAGCCTCCCACAAACAGCTCACTACCCCACCTCTGCAGGGCATGTCCTATTTCAGCTGCTTGCAGCTACCTGCTTGGTTGTTTTAAGACAAAATGGTTGCCAGTCTCTCACAGTCTCTTGGTCCCTCACAGCAGCTAATTAAAACTGGTCGAGAACCATTCTTGAGCCTAAGTGACATATCCCAGCTCATGTCCACTCAGCTAAACTCCTTTTTGCAGAGCAACTATGCCCCAACTAGCTTTTTGGTTTCATTTACTACTGTAAACATAGCTATTGACTGCCTGGCAATTGATGGGTGTTTCTGAGCACACCCTCAATTTGGTGGAGTCTTTCCTAATCTGATGACAGCCAAATCCAAACGCTGCTGTGTTGTTTCATCTGGATTAGATGGGAGTAGAGGGAAATAATTAGATTAGATGGCCAGAGGGAAAACTTTGGCCTGCGGAATTCAGCTTCTTTCCCACCTTTTGGTCTCTTAAGAAATTGGAACAGAGAGAAGAGAGCATGATTTGGAGTGAATTGTGTCTTTAAGAGTAAAGAACCAGACCACTGTTACACAGCCTGATTCCTTCCTGGAGCTCGGTCCATCCCGTTCACTGAACAGGGTATCCTGTGGAAAATACAGCATGTGTTCATATAACTAGTGTTATGCAAGTGTGCTGGCTGAATTTAAGTTTTATCTACTACCTTTAGTGGTTCATGGTATGATTCCTTCCATTAATTTGTTTCATCAAGAATAAATTCTGCTCCCTCCCCAGAACACCAGATCTAGCTATAATAGCTATAATACAGTTATTCTCAAACCAGGACATTTTTTATTGATGTAGTATGTAGGAAAAAATCTGGTACTGGAGATTTGCCATTCAGTGTTTCTGCACAGCATCTCATCAGGAGCCCATGTTTGGTTTGATCTGAATACCAAATATGCAGTTAGGATTGTAGACTGGTTTGTTTCAAGTGTATTAAGCATTTCTTATTTATGAAAGTAAAATTTCTAAACCAATTTAATGTCATATGCTTGATTGTAAATAGTGGAGTTCTGAGAAGTGCTTGGTACTGGCTTATAACTGTTCCTGTTGAAGCTGGACGTTGTGGGAAGAGTTGGGTACTGAATAGTTTCAGGAATCCTGCCAGCGAAGCATTAGTAATCTGCTTCCCTTCTAGTGTGTGTTAAAACTTCAGTGCCTGTGTTTAAAAGTGACTTCACATTTAGATGCTGAAGTGAAACTGGCTTTAAATTAGCTATGGTACAATTCAGATAATGCTAGACATGATACAAGCACTACAGTTGTCATCTGATACTCAGAATGGTGTCTAGTCTTACTTGTTTCTCTTTCTGCATATGCTAATAGATTACGCATCTGTGAATGTTGAGGACGATGTTGAAGCAGTGATTATTGACCATGGAGAAAATGGATTGTCCACACAAAGCTGCATGTCAATGGAACAGAACTCTGAAGTAAACAGTGTTGTTCACCATGTGGCTCAACTTGCCTATGGTAATTACTGTTCGTTTTTATTGTGATCTAATAGTTAATGCTGTATGTTCAGCGCTGCTGTCTTGAATGCTTTCTGTATTACCCATATCTTTAAAACATATTTTATAAGAAAGCTACTTTATAGAAATTGCTTGGCAATGCATTTAAAAAGAGCTTTTTAGTTACTACTTTAGAGGTCTTTATTATAGTGAACCCACTGAAATATTATCTTTTAAAAAACCAATTTTTTACTTATAAAGTAGTATACCTAGGAGTGAATTAGCAAGCAATTTGGAAAATAAATGTCATGGAAGAACCTAACCCCAAAAATGAGGTTTTTAGATAAACTGTCCAGTGTAATTTAGTGGAGCACTGGAGATACTGGTGTGCAACAATAGTAAGATGGTTGTTTAAGGTCATAAATTATTAGCTGTAAGTAGCCTTTGGTGATTGTCTTAAATTCATTGTATTATTTTAACATGCAAGATCAAAGTCTCTCAGAAGTCTTACCCAATTCTCCATTGGCCCAGACAAAAATTAATCATAGCTGTTATGAGCATTTAGTAAGCCCAGTAGCAGTATTGCCAAGTTAGCAAGGAAAATGACTGTAACTAAGTGATGGCATTTATTAGTTTGTTGTTTGGGTTTGGTTTTGTTTTGTTTTTTTTTTTTTTATTTAGCCATTTGACTTTATAGAGAATCTCATCAGTATTTGTCTTCAGCAGAGTTAAGTTACATCTCTGTTTCCTAGTGTTGTTAGGTGCTTCTGAGAACCTTTAATCTTTTCTGGTCTTCTACTTGACAGTAGATTATACTGTAATTTTTTTGTACATTTATGTCTAAAAACATATTTTGGGGAGGAGGATGGTTTGGGTGGTTTATTTTGGTTTTTTTTGCTGTTTTATTAAAAAAAAAAAAATTCCTGCCCAAGAAACTGTCATAGACAGTTGCTGACCTTGATTTCAGGACATGAGT